TCCTTGAACCACTTTGACTGTGGCTGCCTGCCTGGGAGGAGTTGACGAGGGACAGGATGACCCCCAGAAACCATCTTAGCTCCAGCAAACTGGTTCGTCCAATTAAGGAGTTTACTGCTTGGTGGGGAAACAGTTTACTGGAATTCCTCTGACTGATGAAGCCCTCTGGATAGAGGGTGAAACGTTTCTATAAAAAAAGAAACTGCCCAGATGACCTGACTGAGAATTATTGGATTTGGTACTTAGATGATTGAGCATGAACTTTGTTGCTTCTCTTTCTACATTTCACAAGGTTTTTTTTATTTTTTGTCTTCTGGTCTTTTTTAAGGAGTGAATTTGTGCTTGTTCTCAGCTGGTTTAGCCCTCTGTCCCCCTCACACTTGCTCTCGGTTACCAATTAACACGCCCACACTTGATTAGTCATTGGTTTTCTCAGTGTGTAGTTCCAGGTTTTCACTTCATCTTCGCCAGACATGTCTTGTGGGCTCTCACTGTGCCACGCATGCAACGGTTTGTAATTTCTTGTTTCGGCTCTTTGTCATTCTGCTTTTTGCTGCATCTTTGCTTCCAAAGACGCAGCAAGATGCATCTTTTAAAATTTAATAAAGGACAGCATTGTTTGTTCCACTAACTGCCTGCTAACGTCTGCAGTTATGTTCTTTGAACCACGAGTTACAACATTTTAAACTCTGGACCTGGATAACACTCTTCTACAGACACAACACAGTATTATGTCATAGGACTTTTTGTACAGTACTGTTTGCCTGTTATTTTAGTTTATTTATTTATTTATTATTTATACATACATTTGTACCTTCTATTTTTAAAATCATTATTTCTGTATTTTGGTACAGTGCAAACTTGTTTTTAGATTTTAGATCCTCCCTTTTTCCCCTAAAACATACCACTCCCAGCAAATAGAGTAGTCAGTAGTGTTTGTAGATCCTACTTTTACTTTCTTATTTACAAACTAAACATTTATTGTTTTAAAATATGTAATCTATTATGCACCCATCTAGCTCATTTTGAGTTGGTCCAACTCCACTGTTGCCTTGCCACTCAGACAGTGCTGAGCTGTGGGGATGAGACATTTATACGATAAATACTGTATTTTTCATGATGTATAAATGCTGTATCTTTTATAGTATTGTTTGGCAACAAATTATTTAGATCATACTTGGAAGCACAACATACCTATACCTACTATTTTTTTTTTTTATCTCTTTTGCCGCTATTCTTGACATAAACCCAGAGCTCATTGCGGATGCTTATTCTTTGAGTTGAATGAAAGTCTTTAGAAAAAAAACTTGAAACCTGCTCTCCTACATGAAATCAGAATGCAATATCCATTGTAAGTTTGTCACATAATCAGGCATCCATGTGTGCTTGTATATTTTTAGTCTTTTAGGACTCGTGTTTTGCTGCAGACTGGCTTTGTCTCGATGGATGAGTCAAACAGACACCTCATTGAGTCTCTAAAGACCCTAGACTGAAAGTTCAGTTGTTACATGTAGGCCACATGTAGACAGACAGGCACTTAACCATATGTAACTTTCTTTTTTATAACTCTCTTAAGTCCTTTTTTCCTCCAACCTTCTGTTCGTTTCTCATCATTTCCACCACCAATCCTAATGTGTTTTATACCATCTCAAGGGGAGAATACAAGGACTTTTTTCCCCTTTTGCCAAGGCAATAAGTGATTGTCACAGTAGCAGTGTCACTCTGGTACTTAATGTGATCAAGTGTATGCTTATTTGGAACCAAAATATGCAGAAATGAACAAGGAAACTGATGACTCTTTGGGTAGAAATAAATAGACACTTTAAATTTGGCATGGATTGGGTGATGAAAGACATCACATTACCAGGCACATTTCCTCCCACATGTGCACTTCTGGTTGGATCATGAAAATGCCAACAGGACTCCTCACCTTGTTTTGCATTTAATAAAGAATACCACTGAGGGGTAATATTGCAATGTAATATTGACACAATAGAAAATCTGGGTGTAATTTTTTTCATGTCTTTCTGACATTCATGTTTGGCTTCAGACTGCAGGTTTACTTACAGTTCCTAGAGTTTCCAAAACCAGAATGGGAGCAGATCTTTTAGTTATGAGGTTCCTCTCTTGTGGAACCAGCTTCCAGTTTCTATCCATGAGGCTGACACATTGTCCAGTTTTAAAACTGGGCTTAAGACTTTCCTATTTGCTAAATCCTAGAGTTAGGGTTGGCTTGGATTTTCTGAGCTCTCCCTTAGTTATGCTGCTATATGCTTAAACTGCTGGAGGACAAAGTGACCACATTTTTTTTTCACTCTGCTTTTCTTTACTTACTCTGCTCAACCTGTTTTGTATTTGTAATTATTTTTTCTATCCTTGACATGTGTTTTTGTCTTTCAGGTGCACCTGTTAGCACCCCATCCACGTCAAAAATCCCATTAAATACAATGAGTGGTTAGTGCTAGGTTTGTGCTGGTTTGTGCCATACAAAAATTAATTTGTGCTGCTTTGGATTCTGAGACACAGCTAAAGGTGGATGAAGACACAGCTGAAGGTGGTTGAATACACTTCATCCCCGTGGTACATGCGGTCAGTGTCTCTGTTGGCAGGAGCATGTGCGCAAGCTGGTGCACCTGCTGCAGCAGTAACATCCACTCCACAGACATGGACAACGTCTCTTGTCATTGTATTTTTAATAAATAATGAAAAAAATAATGTGCGATGACTTAGGACTTTTATGGGTTGAGATATGAGCTGCCGGATTCGAACAAACAGTTGTTGGAACGCACACAGTGCAAATGAGGGAGTTCCCGATCTTGTTCCAGCAGGATCCGGCTCAAATTAACCACTGCTCATATATGGATCTGCCATTCTGTGTTCATTTGCCTCTCCTTCCTGTCTTCTCAAACCCAGCTGTTCAAAGCAGATTGCCACTTTTCCTGAGTTTAGTTCTGCTGGAGGTTTCTTCCTTTGAAAAGTGTGTTTTTCCTTTCCACCATTGCCATTGTGCTTGCTCAGGATGGGAGACTGTGACAAAGTGAAGATTCAATGTGTCTACTGGCTTCCTTAGATAGGGAACTTTACTAACTGGCTTTTCTATGTATATGGATATTCCTGTAAAATGCCCTGAGACAACGTTGTTGTGATATGTCGCTATGTAAATAAACTGAATTGAATTGAATTGACTATGCAAAAACAAAGGTATAATTTTCTTAAATATATTTTTTCCTTCAAAGTATCCATTTCTTATGCATTCACTCTGTCATGGTACCAGGAATGGTTAAAAAAAGAGGTATGGACTGTTTCATTATAACTATAATGCAATATACAGTATAGGCGAGTGCACAGTCCTTCAATTGAAGTTCACATCAAATCCTGTGATGCAGTTCAAGATTTTTTTTTTTAATTTCTTTTGACTTCTTCTGTTTTCAGGATTTTTCCATATGCCTTTGCACTTCACATTCCAGTATATGGCCTTTGAAATATCTTCCTGTTTTCTATGCATAGTGTTGGCTTGCTTTCCTCAGGCACATTCTCTGACTGCCCTTCTTCTCTCCACCTCACACCCATTCTCTCCCAAATCCTTTAGTGAAGTTGCAAATAGAAGCACAAGATATGACGTGAAGATGTCTGAGCAAATGTTTAACTGGTTCAAAAGCGCCTTCATTTGCATATATACTAGTAAACTATAATATTATAATCCTCAAGTGAAATACGCAACATTGGATGGATGAATACTTTTAAAAAAAATCTAAGAAGAAGCAAGCAAATCTTACTAATCACAATAATAACATGTACAAAATGTCAGCTGTTATGTATTTAAAAGGCATTATGTTAAATAATGTATTTTTTAATAATGTTTCTTTGCAAGGACAAGCTAAGTTCACTGTTTCAAAGATCTTTAGCTTCATTTGAAAGCAATCCTTGTCAGTCATCAGTGGAAAACATACAAAATGTGTGTTGCTGCATTGATTTTTTTTTTGGACATGTCTTTATGATATTCTCAAACCCAGCTGGTCGAATCAGATGGCCACTTGTCCTGAGCCTGGTTCTGCTAAAGATTTCTTCCTCATGAGGGAGTTTTTCCTTTCCACTGTTGTCTTCATGCTTGCTCAAAATGAGAGTTCTGCGATGAAGTTAAATTCAAAGCAGTCTGTTCCTCAGATAAATACTGTTAACTTGTTTTTTTTTTTATAAATGGATGTTTCTGTTCAGTGCCCTGAGATGACTTCTGTTGTGACTCTGCGCTATATAAATAAATTGAATTGAATAGACATGAAGCTATGATTTTGTTTGATATATAGTTTGCTATCTTTTTATCTGCATGTTTTAGAGGGAATTTGGGTGGGCATTCCAGCCAACAACAGGGTGTGGGATATAAAAATAAAATAAAAGTATACAAACCTCATAGAAATTGGAATGTTATTGCTAAAAGCACCCACAAACAAAGTAAAAAATACAGAACAAAAGTTACCCAATCTGAAGATGGAACCAAACTGAGTCAATCAGAACTCATTTCCTGAAAAGCTCACAAGGTTTTTTTTTGGTAAAATAAACAATATGGTCCCTGTAACCAACTTTCCCATTTACTCTAGAATATAGTTATTTATTGTTTAATGAAACCTATTTAAAACTGAGTGAAAATATAAAATATCTGATATTATAAACCATTTACATGCATGATGACAGAAAGCTTTATCTTTAGCTGCTAAGTTTGCAACATCATGAACAAAAACATCTTACACAAATGTCCCTTTTAGTATAACACTTACAGTCAATCTGTTTCCAGGACAACCAAATCTTGCTTTTTGCACAAAATGTCCTTTGTCATGATGAATCAGCTAATGCAAAATTAAACAGTAATCACTGTAATCATGTATTTTCACTCATGGGTTTTATTGCATTAACACAAACCCTTTAAACTACTTTCATTTATAGGAACACACACTCATATAACACTCTGGCATTTTAACGACCACACACACACAGCTGTCTCCTACCGGTGTGAAGTTCATGACTTTGAGGATCCAGATGGTCAGCGCCAGGTTGACAATCATGGTGACGAGAAGGAGGAGGATGAAAAAGTACAAGCATCTCTTCCTCCATCCATAGATGCCGACTGTAGGGTAAACCTGGGCGCTGCACTCCGATGCACCTCTCTGGTGGAGAGGGTTTGGCTGAGCTGCAAGGATGTACTGTTCCTGGGTCATCTGAAAAGTAGAATAAAAATAAAACACATTTACTCAACTGGCAAGTGTAATGTACATTTAAGAGCAAAAATAATTAGACCAGGATAAAAAGATGTATGAAAGTTCTTCCACATCAAGGTTCAAGCTTCTTTATTGTCATTTGCATCACATATGGTACGCGAGGTGGAATTAAATTGTGTACTCAGGGTCCCAGTTACACCCAAAAATAGCAAACATATAAAAAGAAGCAGTATACAATGATCTAAGACATATGCTAAACACTAATAATGTAAAATAATACAGTATATGAAACAGCAGCCCGAACATGAGTCTACAGTGGGCAGATGGGTATGAAAACACCAGATTGAAGGCAAGAGATCAGCAGCATGGAAAATCAGCAGCACATAAGTCAATATCACCAAAGCAAGAGATCATCCTCATCAATAGAACATCTTTCTCATTCTGTAATTAAATCTATTTTTGTGGGTTTTATTATGGGTCTTTAATTTGATGCTTCAAAGTCATGGGGTATGTTAAGACACCACACAACATAATATATGAAAAACAACACCATGGAATTACACAGGTCTACACAAATGCCCAAAAATATTGCACAAGGAGCAACAAAAGGTCCAGAAAGTCCACTTTATCCAGTGCAAACAAAGACAAGAATAAAAGATTAAAAGGCAAACTTTTCTTTCTTTTTTTTGTCATAGAGAAGAAAAAAGTGAGGGAAAAAAAAAAAAAAAAAAACTGAGAAGGAAGACAAGAAAGAAGAGAAGAGAAAGACCAGAAGCATTTGAGAGTGAGATAGCTGGAGAAGGAAAGGCAAAGAGCAAAGTGTGATAAAAATGAGATTGAGGTGAAGCCGTTAAGTGGAAAGATAGAGCAGCTTTGAGTCGTGTGAGATAGGGAGGAAGGATGGAAAAAGGGAGAGAAGGTAGATAAGACAGTAGAGAAGGACAGAGTCCATTAGTTGTAGTGCAGCGTGTGGAGTCAATACTGGCGAGAGATATGGGCACTGGCTGCAAGGCACTACCATCTCTGTCCATCTGACTCGCTAACTCCTTCACTCTCTTTACCTTGCTCTCTATACCTAAAGTCTCTATTGCTCTCTTTTTTGTACTCGTCTTAATTCACTTCCTATCTCACTTTCACACTTCCCTCTTCTCCTTACCAGTCTCTCTCGCTCATTCTTTCTCTCACATATGCACACATTATGTTTTTTTATTTGCTGAAACTGCAGGGTTAGCACCTCACAGACTGTTGGTTTTTCTTTCTCTAAAAACAAACGTTATAATCTCCATATAGTCTCACATGATAATGCCAACGAGTCTTGATGGGGGAAACAAAAATGCTGACTCTAACCTTGCCTGAAGGAAGAAAAAGAGATGCAGACTTGGCCTGATATTTATCATTTATTCTTCCTTTCAGGGGGCATCTAAATCAAATATAAACTGGTTATCTCCATCTCCACAGGAGTCCAGTTTCTCATACAAAAAATGCAAAACCTTTTCTTGTTTAAATGTTAAAGGTCTGGAACTGTATAACATAAAGCAAAACAAAACAAAAAGCCCTCAACAAGGTTTTATAAATTGTTTACAACAATGGAGGCTCTTTAAAGAAACCCTAATGCAAAGGAAATGTAAATGAGAGTTTGGAATTGTGTTCTTAATGGATATTGTCACAAATTTAATCCATTCTACTAAAGTACACTCTAATCTATGACTTGATGTCACATTCTCAATGGAACCAATTCACCTTGAAGAAAATTTATATTTTTTAAATCCTACCAACCTAATATAAACTATAATTCTACCCACATGACTTTGACCACCTGATGGTGTTTCAAATAATCAAATACAGCTCTAGTTTTTGCTAAAAAATCCCAGGAGCCATGTTCTAACCAAATTAACGAGATACACTGACTGAACTGTGATGAAGCTTAGCTAAATATGACATCAAGGTGGAATTAATTCAATTATTTATGGAAGGTCCAATTAACTAAAACACACATATGTACACTGGAACATGTTGGACTGTATTACAATGAAGAATGCATTCAATCGGTACATTATACGTGTAGCAAAATTAAAAACAATTTATTAAATTAATAAATGTATACTGGGCGGCATGAACCTCGTTTTTATATTACCCTCCTGATCGCTGACCATGCTCTCCTTAGCTCAGCTCTGCCCTGCAATTGCACTTCACCCAGTGGCGGTGACGCCATCTTGCCCGACTCCTTCAGGTGCCCCCCACCTCTCCTTCTTGAGAAGGTTAGTGACTGTCTTTCTGTTCATCATCTCACTCACAGAAATATTCAGTTCACTAACCATCATATCTCTGCAGATTGGTCCCACCACATGGATTCACCGCCAGCAGCTGCGTTACAATAAACTTTATAACCATTCTTGTTGTCCGGCGTCTTGTACAAATCCCAAACCCCAAACCTTGTCACTAGATTTAAAAAAAAGTGATATTAGTACATGTTGTGATTTATTTATTTTTTACAGCAAAAGGAAAATATGTTTTAAATGGTAGTTTTCAATATTTTGATCTAAATATAATCCGGCGAATTTCCAATGTGAGCATATTGTAGAGAAAGAACATGTAATTAAGCTGAATGCAAAGAAATATTAATAATGACAAGTACGGTAGGCTAAT